GGTGTGCAAGAGGCAGCTGATTGATGATTCTCTCTCATCGATGTTTCTAACTCTCTATCCCTCTCTCTTCCTCTCTGTAAAAAAAATCAATAAAATATATATATTTTTAAAAAGGCCCTGTTCATTGTAAGGTGGTTAGCAGCTCCCTGGCTTCTTTCTACCCATTACTCCAGGAGTAACTTCCCAGTTGTGACATAACTATTGCCAGATATTTCCAAGTGTCTCCTGAGAGAGGAAATCGCTCCTTGTTGGCAACTGTGGATCTAAACCTGTGTGTGAAAATTTCACAGACAGACAGCTATCTGGAAGGCAGAATAAGTGAACACCTAGGGTTATACTTAGAGAAGTTTGGACTTCTTGCCGTGCCACAGTGAGTTCAGAGACAAGATGGGAACTGGTTTGCTCTGTGACCGCATGTTTTGTACCAAGCTGAGTTTCATACCTTCTTTGTAAGTGCACATTCCTCTGGAAACACCAACTTATGTAAAACCGTATCTCCCAGTGTTTCCTTTTCATTTATGAAGCGTAAAAATCCCTGGCAAGGATTTTAACTCGGACACCTTGTCTAGCAAAGCCTCAAATGCATTTTCTAATAGCATGGAGAGGTGTGTTACTTCTTAACATCGTAGCACAGTCAGTTTTGCTATAACACAACACACATGTTCTTAAAAATCACCCCACTGTGCAAAATTGGGCTGTGAAAAGCATGAGGCTTCTGTTAAAAATGGGTTTCAGAGCATCCCACTCAGAAAAGTTCATGAGTCACACATACAGATAAACACAGGAACCTAATAAAAGTGGTTGCACCATTTCACACACATTAAACAGATAGGAAAAAAAAGAAAAAAAGAAAAACACTGCAAATACACTTTGCCTTGAAAAAGAACTGCAGTTTGCTTGTGAAAATGGACATTGCAAGGGCTTCCGCGTGTGAGTTATTGGGAAGTGCTGGAAGTAGGGATGTATGGAATTAGAAAGTTGTATCACGTGAGGGTGAGTGTGCTTCATAAAACAGGCGGTGACCTCCAGTCGCTGGCCCACGGTTGAAGTTGGTGCGGATGTGAGATGTGTGTGCACCGTGTGGCTGGAATTCTGTTGGGTGCAGTTTTCTGCATTCTCCTGGAGTTTCCCACAGACAGGTTCACGCATAAGCAAATATGGAATTTATATGATGCTCAGATTGTTCCCTAATAGATGAATCACACTGGAACACACTGCTGCACAAGTATTACAGTGAAACCGATGGTACTCCTGATCTGAATGTTGAGGCCCTTCAAAAAAAACCAACAGCAGCCAAACTTGTGACTGCAAAAAAAGATGGCAAGTGTAGGCTGATGAAAACGTGTGCTTTGTATATAACAGAGGGGACAAACTTTGGTTGAACTGAGGAGGGAAGGCGGGGAATCATTCATTCATTGTCTTCCCTGCCAGCCCTCGTGGTCCTGGGCAGTCAGGCACTCCTCCTTTGTGGCAGGGTCAGAGGTCATGACTGGTACTTAACAGTGGGCCAGCCAACTCTTGTTGCTATACATATTAGAGGGATAGCGCAGTGGTGGGCAAACTCATTAGTCAACGGTGCGGCAGACGGCGCAGTTTGCCAACCATTGAGTTAGCGTGCCTACCACTGAGTTAGCGTATTAGGTGTTAAAAAAGAATTTTTTACATTAACAAGTGCCTTTGTGGAGGGGTGTGAGTTCCCCCAGAAAAACTTAGATTTTATTTATTGTACATTGATTCTTTCAAATTGGCTGTCAGTATTGAACTCATTTTTAGTTTCTGTAATGGTTTAGAAATGGTGTTTATCCTTTGATATTGTACGTAAAATGAAACATGTTATAGAAGTAAAGTGTAAATGCCATTATAATAAGAAGGAGTGGTTTTTAAATTTAAAAATAGCTTCATTAAATTTTTAAATCTCTAAAAATGTATATAAAATACATTTGCTTAAGAGCAATGAGAATGGACAGTCCTGTCAGGAAGTGGGAAATTACCACATCTTTATAGTTAGGACTGGATTTGATCTTTTGTGGGGATTTTTTGTTGTTGTTGTTTTGTTTTTAGTTTTTATTGGTTTGTTTTTGTTTTTTTTAATTGATTTTTTACAGAGAGGAAGGGAGAGAGATAGAGAGCTAGAAACATCGATGAGAGAGTCATCCATCAGCTGCCTCTTGCACACCCCCTACCAGGAATGTGCCCACACCAAGGTACATGGTCTTGACCGGATTCAAACCCAGGACCTTTTCAGTCCGCAGACTGACGCTCTATCCACTGAGCCAAACCGGTTTCTGCTTTATTTGATCTTTTGATATGTCATATATTTTATTGATTTTAATTAATTTTGATAAAATGGTTAAAAAATATTACTCTGGTTTTTCTGTTTAATAAGTATGTTGTTTTACAGGAGATGACAATTTTTTTTTATTCTAATTGCCTATAAAATCTTATTCTGATTTTGAATTTTATAGAAACCTCTAGTAATCTTGACTATAACTTAAAATATATCATTGTACAGATTTTTGGGATTTAACATTTTAGAAAATGCACTTAATTTGTGTGTGTGTGTGTGTGTGTGTTATTTAGTAACCAAGAGCCAGATTTTAAGAATATTGTATAAGTCGGAACAAATGAGTAAACATTTAAGAAAACTTGTTAGTTTGCTGTGTGTTAGCAATTAGGTAAATATATTAGGAAAGACTTTCATTTATTAAAAACAATAAAAGATCTCTGAGTGTTCTTAGAGATTTTATTGAATTATGTTAATTTAATACAAGAACATTAAGTAGTAGAAGAAGAATGTAAAAATATTCAGGTTTGATGTTGGTTTTAGTCACTGGTCTTTTACCTAAGGTGGAATATTGAAATTTTTTTATTTAGTTTTATTTTAAGATGAGATGATAAAAATGTCAATTTTATTGAAATAGTGCCCACTTTTAGGGAAGAGACTGTTTGGGCTCCATTTTAATCATTCCTTTAATTAAATTTCTTCATTGTCCTACACCTTGTCTAACGGTTACTTAAATCTATTTAGTGTTTAGGAAGTCATTGTAGTCTCTTAGCCCAATAATTACTGCAGAGCCATATTGTTATCATTTAGAGCCTCTAGAATATTAGGATTAGAGTCTGCTGTATCCCTGCCAGGTGAAATGACATAGCATGGGGAAATGATGGGAGATGTAGGGGGGTGTTTATTTTCTCTGTGCAGTATTGGTTTTTATAAAAAGAATTTTTGTGTTTCTGTTCTATTACTGAGCCAACTCTAGCTCTTTAATGCCCGTTTCCAAGGAGACGCTTTAAGGAAAAAATAGCTATTCTCCATTTTTCCATTATTAGATAATCTAATCCCTGTCACAGGTTATGTTTCCCTCTTCTTCCCACAGTGTTTCATACTGTTTAAATATCAGAATTTACATGCCTTGACACATTCATGGTGGTCATCACATTTGAGTATTTCAGTATTTTCCAGTTATCTCCAGAGGCTATACTTCCTGTTATTCTGTCACCATTGTATTGCTTATTACATAAATTTATTTCCACTATGGTACTGTTTTTAAATTAATAGGTAAGAGACACTTGCTTATGTTTTTATGTAATAAAAATACCACCCGAATAAATATCTAAAACCCACTAAATCTTAACATTTATTGAGTATGTTTGTATAAAGACAAACCACCACAAAAAAAAAAAAAAACTGATATAGTAATAGAAGCTCATTATAGTCTACCAATCATTCTACTGTGACAACAGTCAAATGTATAATTTTTTTAAAAACTGTAACTCTGTACTTTTTCTTCTATATGGTATTAGTTTTATTTAATGGCTAGAATTTCAAGTACAGAGCTACCAGTAAAATATTAATGGCAGTTAGGATTTGGAAAAGGAACTTAAGAGTCTAAAGTTTGCCAGAAAGTTTGTGGCTTGTGGTTGTAGAGTTCCCAAAACTCAGCGCACATGTAATAATCTTCGAAGATTTAAAAGCAGTATATGATATAACATTTTGAAATTCTTCCTCGTAATGAAAGTAAATCTTCTAAGTTAAAGCATACCAATGTTAGGTTGTTTTATGGATAAAACCCAATGGAAAAAAATGTTAATTTTAACATGATGATATGTGTTCTATGTCAATGTATACTGCATATTACTTTGGGCATATAATATCTTTGGCTTAGCTAGATAAATAGTTGAGGATATTTTCTACTCTCATTTCAAGAAAACAGTACAATACCTAATCTTATCACTCAACCTTGAAAGAATAGTATTTCTATGCAAAGGTCTTACTCCCCCCCAAAAATAGTAATTCTTTTATTCACTTGATCTTAACCAAAAGGGTGAGAAGTGAGAAATTCAAAGAAAACTTTTTTCAGCACACATAACAAGTAGATTTTTTCTTTGTTTCTGTTTTTGCATTTTATTTTCTCCTGCAGATTCCACTTTTTTATAGCATATTTTCCTCAAATATCACAAAAAGCAATCCCATTACATTATTTATATAGCGATTCTTTTGTAAAACAAAAACATCGTAGGTTACTGCTCTTCAAATGGTATTATACTATTTGTTAATGTGCTAGTGCCCCTATAGTAGTACTGTTTAATTTCCCTCCACATGTGAATTTTAGCATTAAGTGCTTAAATTGAGATACAAAGTAATGGAGGTGAGTAGATATTACTACTCACTTTTGTGGCCTACCTATCAAATGTAAAGTGCATTGATCGTGGAAACAAATCAACTTTATTTATAAAATAGTGGGAAGAAAGAATTGAGGTTAGACTAGAGAGTTGAGCTTATCTGTATTGTAAAACTGTAAGTGGCATTTACATGTGCACACACAGTGAGTAGTAAAAAGCTATATTTCAACAGCTATGGGTTTGAATTTCATCTTCTTTTATTCACTAACTTCAATGTTTTACTATAGAAGTGGCTATTTTGCTGTAAGAATATTAGAAAAATGTTTGTAATGATGAAAGTACATACTTACATTTTCTCTGTTTCTCTTTTCCCTCAGCCACAATGAAAGGAAAGTGACCTGTAAACACCCAGTCACAGGACAGCCATCACAGGACAATTGTATTTTTGTGGTGAATGAACAGTAAGTACAGATTTTCGTGTAATGCCTCTGTTCAAAATTGCGATTGCTGTTACCCATATTCTACTTAATGCAGTGCAATTCAACAGTTTTCTTATCTGGATATGTGCAGTCAAGTATAATAACAGAACGACATCTGTTTATTTTGTGTGGTATAGAAATATTACCCAAAAAATGTTTTTATTATAAGGAATATAATTTCAAAAGATATGTATCCAGTAGTTCAAAAAGAGATATTTCAAAAGCCCAGGGTGTTAGGTCAGAGCCTATAAACTTGGTCAGACTATGAAACTAGTTTGACCTCAGTTTCCTCATCATTAAATCAGAGATAGTGGTAATTACCATTTCTCAGGATCTTTATAAGCATCGAGTGAAATATGTATGGAAATACCTTATACTAGAATTCTGTTCACAAATATTAGTTATTGATATCGCTGTTATTGTTTTCAGTATTAAATAGCTAATCTTGTAGCTAAATTTTTACATTTCCAAGAAGAATATCTATTAATGCTTATTAAAATAAACCTATTTATTTACGTTGTGATTAGGAAACACGTATTAAAGTAATTGTAAACATTAATTCCTGACTGTAGAGCTTATTATACTCCACCTACTATACACCTTTTTTGAGAAAGTAGGACTCCAGCATTGTTAACTCTAGATAAGCTTTATTGTAAAGCGGTTTAAATACTCTGAAAGTTCTAGCATTCTGACATATATTTTCAGGACTGTCCCAACTATGACATCCGAAGATAAGAAGGAACGCTCTATAAGTTTGACCAACGAAGCTTCTAACTATAACATGACTTCCGATTACACAGTACACCCAATGAGCCCTGTCGGCAGAGTAAGTTATTTTTGCTTACTGTTAATTATTGATAGCTGGTGTAATTGATAGTCAGTGTCTTGCTATGGCTCAGTAGATTTTATATTTATAGAATAATTATTTCATTTTTATTATTACACGAACCTAATTACATTCGCAGTAATTGACATAAGCAATGGCCTGGAATATAAAGTAATAAGATTATGTGTTAATAATGCAATGACTTACATTTTCAAAAATTATTACAGAGTTCAGATTTCAAATAATTTTACAAATGTAATGGGATGCTTGTGTGAAAGAATAGCAATTTAATATAAGGACCTAGAAATTCCTATTAAGTACACCTGGAATGAACCATCTTAATCTCTTTAAAAATAAATGTAAATAATTATATAATTTGTAGTTCTTATATAATATAAAATGCTACTAGGATAACTGAATATTAGAATGCTTTATTAATAATTTTAATTTAAATCTAGAAAAATTGTAGGTGGATTAGGGCCCACTAAGTCATTGTCTAGAAAGAAAGTGGGATCGATGCCTCATACTTTACAACAAAAATTTTCCCTGTAGATCAGGTATTGAAATGTTAATGAAAACAATGAAAGGTTTGTTTGGTTTGGTTGGTTGGTTGTTTGTAAGAAAAAAAGAAAAAAAAAGAAAGAAAGGTCCTGGTCAGTGTGGCTCAGTTGGTTGGGTGTCATCCCATGTACCAAACGGTTGCTGGTTTAATTCCCAGTCCCAGCACATGCCCAGGTTTTGAGTTCAATCCCCAATAGAGGGTGTGCAGGAGGCAGATAATCAATGATTAACTCTCACATTGATGTTTCTCTCTACCTCCTTCTCTCTTCCCCTCTCTCAAAAAAATCTATAAAAAATATTAAAGAAAGAAAAGGAAAAGAAGAAACTCAGAATGTGAATGGGCTTTCTAAAAATGATATAAAACTCAGAACTTAAATTGAGAGTTTCAAACATATAAAATTATCATGCATGCATATATCTGCAATCCGTGTAACAAAGAATAATTCCTTTATAATTAAAGCGGTGCTGTGAATCAATAAGGAAAAGGCTTAAAACCCAGTTTTTAAATAGGCAAATATGTAAAATCACTTTTTACATATTTATAATCACATAGAAGGGGGAAAAATAGCTTTTTTCTAAAAGTATGTGAAAAAGGATATCAGATCCTTCATAATATGAAAAAATGCCAGTGGCAACCAGAAAAGGACACGTTTTTTTCACTTATTTGATTTACACAGTTAAAAGTTTTATAGCACAGACAAGAGTGTAAATAGCCATTTTCTTTACATAGTGAGCTCCAAGAAATAGTAGATATTATATATTAAATCATTTGAAGGGGGAGGGGGTGTAGGAAGATATTCCATGGCTATGAAAATAATTATTCGAGGTAAATAAACACAAAGATGCACACACAGTGATTCTTTGGCTGCTCGTATCCAGAGCTGAGAAGGAAGTAGACTGGTGTATATTTTTTGTACCATTTGAGTCTTAGATTATATTTAAACATTAAAAGTAAATTAAAATTTATTTTTTAAAAGAAAACACATGCTTTAGGTAAAACAAAAAATATTAATAAAATAAACTAGCTTTAAGATTTAAGTTGGAAATTAAGAGATCACTTGAAATTACTTACTTTCATACAGAAATTAAAATTCAGCTTCTTTGTTTTTATGTTCATTGGTTTCTACTGCCACTTAAGCCAAAATAAATCATTATGCTAAACATAGCAGTATCTTAAAAGTTTGTATATCCTTATGTGTACTTCTAAGAATATAGTAAATACCATCTGTCTGCTAGCATTCAAGTTCAGATTTGTCCATGACATTAAGCCCTGTTTTGACTTGATGTGTGATTTGTTTGCTTATGTTTTATATCTGAATATTTCTCTTGTGACCTGCTGCTAATTTTTTGTAGTTGAAACACTATTCAATACAGATATAATGCATAAAGTTCTGTCTTTTGGCTTATTCGTCAAGATTTGTTAATAATTTTTATTCAGGGTTCATTCAACTTATGTAACAGGTAGGACAAAATACTGCCATCCCCAGTGCCTTTTTAGAAATTGTATGTCCATCTTTTAAAGAAGAGATTATAAAACCTGTGATCCTTTTGTAATATCCTGGGGGAAGAAGTCTTTGTGCGGAATTATTACACTTGGAAGAACTAAGCCAGCAAAAGCAGAATTGCAATAATTCATCTGAAAAGATTTAACTCCTGCAAGTTTCAGAGGAATCTGAAAAAGAGATTAACATTGTGAGGATGAAAAATAAGCTGAAATATCTAATCATTAATGCCACCTGTGCTTTCTTCTATTTAGACCTCACGGGCTTCGAAAAAAGTTCATAATTTTGGAAAGAGATCAAATTCAATCAAAAGGAACCCTAATGCACCGGTGGTCAGACGAGGTTGGCTTTATAAGCAGGTATTTATTTTTCCCTATTTGATGTGGGAAAAGGACAGAATAGAGGGGTCTTTTCTGTTGAATGTCCATGAGACAGTTCTGTAAAATGGAGAAGGGCCTGGAGGAGCCACCCACATTCTTTCACTTCTGTTAACACTGAGGATGTTAGGGGAACAAATGAGGCCAGAAAGGGTAGTTAGAGCAGGGACCGTGTGTTTGTCATAGGTAGGTCTAGATTTGAAGTTAAATATATGCTGTATGAAATAGGAATAACATGCCAAAATTTGGCAAGCAGAAATATTTTTTAAACTGAGAAGAAAAAACAAACAAACATCTAGAGATATTGTTCATTTTTCTGTTCATATAAAAATCATTAGAGAAATATATAATTATAAACTTAATTTATAGGGAATTTAAGACTTTTCTGATTTTCTTCCAGATTTTTGCTTCTATGCTTTCTAAATGCTGTTTTGTTTTGCTTTGTTTTTCTCTCTTCTTTTACTTTCCTTGTTTTATAATTGAAACATGGTTAACACCCTGATAAGTTGGGCTATATATTGTTCTATTGTCTGGGAAATTTGATGACTAATGTTTTTGGAACTTGGTCATATGTATTGGAATTATAGGATGCCTGTACATTGGGCTTCATGGCATCTATTTTGACTGCATATAGGCTGCTGGGTTTTTTTTTTTAATTTAATTTCTGGTTTGCAACTAGGTTTCAGCTAAATGACCACCAGCTACCTGAGATGATGCATTTGGCATTTAAGACCTTTGTCTGGTTTTGTTCTGTCTCTGATCCTACATGTATACAGGTGATACAGAACAAATTAAATAGTTCATTGGCCGTGTATAATTTGTTCTGTCAAATAGTGCTAATTGCTTTCAGATGACCTAATCATTATATTCTTAAAATTAATAATGAATTTGATATGAAGTATTCATTAAATGTTGCTCCCTCTGAAAGATGGTTGGCAGCTAAACTAATGTATTAGAAGAGGACCATCTTAAAAATCCAAAGAATCCCCAAATTAGTGTTGCCAATTCCTTACTCCTTTGATTGGGTATGTAACTTTGGTTCAAGTTTTCATTTTTATTTAAAGATCATTTACTGCCAAAACCGGTTTGGCTCAGTGGATAGAGCGTCGGCCTGCGGACTGAAAGGTCCCCTGTTCGATTCCGGTCAAGGGCATATACGTTGGTTGCTGGCACATCCCCAGTAGGAGGTGTGCAGGAGGCAGCTGACCGATAATTCTCTCTCCTCGATGTTTCTGACTTTCTCTCCCTCTCTCTTTCCTCTCTGTAAAAAATCAATAAAATATATATTTTTTTTTAAATAGTTTTGGAAAAAAACTGGCCTCTTTTCCCCTTTCCATCTTTTTCATATCCAGGTTTTCATATTTTCTTGCAATCTTGCTTTATTCTAAATGGGACACGTGGGAAGATATATTTCATTAAAATTGTAATTTTGTTTGAGCTTGGTATTTTTATGAACTAAATTATTTAGAAAGAGCTGCCAAATAGGCACTCTTTTCTGCCGAATGAGCAAAATGCAAACCGTATACGTAAGAAGAAAACTGTGTTTGTGAAATGTATTTATATGCTGAGGTTTCTTTAGCACAGTCATTTTAAATTGCCTGACATACTTTCCTATTGTTGACGATTAACATATTTATTAAATCCGGTTTACCAGAATGCGCGCACTGCTTCATGGTTCCATGATCCTTAGGCTCGCAGACATGTTTCTAGAAGAGTGAATTTCACATTGTTTAAAAAATGTGAAACCAAAACCGATTGCTTCAACAGTATTCCTTTTACATGACTGTATTTCTCTTCAGAGACCAAGTGTACTTTGGAATATATTTATATGATGCAAGTCCCTAGAAAATTACCCCAGATTTTTTTTTTTGATTTTTTTTTTTTAACAGAGAGGAAGGAAGAGAGACAGTTAGAAACATCAATGAGAGAGAAACATCGATCAGCTGCCTCCTGCACACCCCCCTACTGGGGATGTGCCCACAACCAAGGTACATGCCCTTGACTAGAATCGAACCTGGGACCCTTCAGTCCGCAGGCCGACGCTCTATCCCCTGAGCCAAATCGGTTTCGGCTCTACCCCAAATTTTTATTACTCTTTCCTTAGCCATACCAAACCTTGTCTTTAAAGCTCATTGTAAATAAGTGCATCAGAAATGGATTTTAATTTCCTGAAATGAAAACAAGTTCTTTTGTTATGCTGATTGAATGCAGGACAGCACTGGCATGAAGCTGTGGAAGAAACGCTGGTTTGTGCTCTCTGACCTCTGTCTCTTCTATTATAGAGGTGAGTTTACCGCTGTCTTAGTGTGTCTTTTCATAATTGCAATAGAATATGTCTTAAGTATAGGATGGTTTTATGTGTGGCTGTTTTTTTTTTAAGAGAAAAACATTACAGTTCTATCTGTTATTTTATGTCAACAAACAGTATCAAGAAAACCTCTTTTTCACTGACATATTAATACTAGTAATTGAGATAGAACAGAAGATGATATACTAGTTTTTCAGAGTAGTCTGAATTTTGGTCCCGTTTCTGTAATCTAATGGTGGGAATCTGATTTGTTTTGTGAAAAAAGCGTATGAATCTCCACTGTATCACGTTATCCTTTAACACGGTGCCTCATGGGTAAAAATCATTTGTTTGATGAGATTCTGTTTGCACGTCAGCTTTATCCGATCCGCTTTGGGTCCACCAAACACCCAGTTCTCCCAAGCAAATGATTTTTAGAATATCAAAGATGACTAGGGTGTACTGGCAAATTAAAAAATCACATACAGATGTATTCATTCTGATCCCTTCCTGCCCCTCCTTTTTCAAACAAACAGTGACAACTCCCTGAAAGGTGGAGAAAGTTGTAGGATACATACCAGGCTATCAGTGTTGCTGGAGAGGAAATAAAAGGCATTAGCCTAGGTGTGGAGCAGCAGTCTTCAGTAACCCTGTCTGGATATCATAATCTCCTTTTTTCTTTGTTTTCTGTTATTAGTACAGTTTTAAGTAAAGGACTAGCAGAGTGTGAAGTCAGAGCCTCTGTGCATATGCTATATGGATCTGTTAGGTACTGCAGAGCTGGTACCTAACCAGGAAAGGCGGACACGAGCTGTGCTCGTGATATAAGTCTGTTTCTGCTATAATATAAAATTATGAATCTGAGCAATCACTTTTTCTCGACATTAAAGTTGGGTTAGAGACAGTCACAAAAGCCGATATCGGTTTGGCTCAGTGGATAGAGCGTCGGTCCGCCAACTGAAGGGTCCCAGGTTTGATTCCAGTCAAGAGCATGTACATTGGTTGCGGGCACATCCCCAGTATGGGGTGTGCAAGAGGCAGCTGGTGGATGTTTCTCTCTCATCAATATTTCTTACTCTTTATCCCTCTCTCTTCCTCTCTGTGAAAAATCAATAAAATATATTTTTTTTAAAAAGAAGAAAGAAAAGAAATAGTCACAAAAGAATTAAATTGTCAAGATCTCCTTAATAATTTATATCTATTCTAGATAAATATATGACAAGATTTTGGGGCCAATCAGCAGTTTTTAAAGTTATTTTGTGATTGTACCCCCCAAAAATAGTGGCAAAATTCTGTAGTTATCTATCATACAATAATAAAACATATTTACCTTCAAATTTTGAAATTTTCAGACTTATATTCATCTTCTCCCTCCCACTCCACTGCAAACTGTGGTTGAAAAGTGCTGCTGTGTCAGAATTAACTAAACCTATAAATTTTCATTCTGTCATAGAGATGTTGGTCAGGCTGTAATTTTGGTGTTATCTTCAGTTCTGTGCCAAGTATACTCTACAATTTTCAGGGAAGTCAGGAGTGTAACTCAGGCTTCAATCCTAAGCTTACAGTTTGTACTTTCCTTTTCAGCTTATTTATAAACTGTTTCAAGCTTTAAATGAGAACAAGAAAATGCTTGTTACTATTTCTCATGTAAAAATTTCTAAATGTTAAATTGCAACAAAAAAACAACACTGAATTCCTTGTAATTTGCTATTATTATTGTCCATGGAAATGTGCTCATCATCACTTATTAAAATAAAAAAACTTTTTACTTAATTTGAGAAAAATAAAGGTAAGTTCAGAAGCTATGTTGAGGGTGAGATTCCATATGCATTTTGCAAGCAATGTATTAATTAATTTTAGTGCAGTCCTTTTGACAGGAATGTAAAGGGGGACAAAAAGGATAGAAATGACCTTTAACTCATTTCTGTTCTTCAGATGGTTAGAAAGAAGTTTATGATATCACATACTTTTACTATTTTTATCAACAAAAAATGTCAGGTCTTACATAAAAGCTATCAGATTTTAATGAGATCATCAGAACAGTTTGCAGTGGTTTTTGTTGTTGTTTGAGAGTTTAAGCACATAACATAGGTGATCTATTTCATCTCTTCCCCACAATCATTTGATAAGATGGGACATCTTGCACTCATTTATACAAAAGGGAACTAAGGGACAGCAACGCCAATTTGGTGGCCTGGGGTCTCACAACTAGTAAGTGTCAGAGGCAGAATTGTCACCCAAGCACTTCTCTTAATCACCAGTTTTTAGCCCAACCCAGATCTCTCCTGTATGCTGAATGCATTGGCCTCATTCATTTTTCCATATCTCTCAAAGCATCTGGTATTCTAACACGTGGAGTGTGCTGTCAGAATTTTTTGACAGATCAAGCAGTTTGTGTTTTACAGATAGGGAAAATAAGACAGAAAGAAAATGGAAGAGAACAAGTGATTTGTTATTTTTTTTTGCAATAGGTTGGCAACAAATACCAGATGGAAGCCCAGGTTCCCACTACGCTTTGCAATACAGCAGGCAGATGGTGAACCTGCTCTGATAAATCACTTAGATTGCTCTGTCCTATAGCCAGCCTATTGACAAAACTTACCGTGGAACTCAGTTCATTCACCACATGTTTATTGAGCAGCACCTACTTCATTTCAGGTGCTGTCAAAACACCCTTGAGAGAGCACTCATGAAGTTTACTTACTAGAGAGGTCTGAGAGATAGTAAATAAACTCAGAGAAGTAAAAAAAAAAAAAAGACCAGGATTATTTAAATGGGTATTTTAAATGTCACTTGAATCTAAAAGGTAAAAAAAAAAAAAAAAAAAAAAAAAAGATACAAAGTCATCAACTATCAAGAATGACAATTTAAAAGAATGAGTGACATTCTGATTTTTAAATCCAATTTTATATATGCTGAATGCATTGGCCTCATTCATTTTTCCATATCTCTCAAAGCATCTGGTATTCTGTGGTTCCTGTCCCAGCTAGCGTTCCCCAGGAAGCAAACTCTATGATGGAGATGAATGGCTTGTTGGGGAGTGTCTGAGGGGCAGCTCCCTGTGGCAGGGAAGGGAAGGAGGTAGGATGGGGCAGGGGGAGAAATTGCACAGCCGGACAATCTTAAAAAGGCTCAGCTGAGCCCCACAGAGAGTTTGTTCACCTATAAACACTGTTCACCACCGGCCCTTTGCTTGTATATCCCGCCCTCTGGGTTTGGGTTTGACAGAGAACCAAACAGAAGAATGCCCTGATTGGGAACGTTTGAAGAATCTAGTGGCTGCTTTGGCCGGTGTGGCTCAGTTGGTTGGGTGTTGTCCCACAAAGTTCCGGTCCTGGTCAGGGCACATGCCCTGGTTGTGGGCTTGAGGGCTTGAAGCAGGGAGAGGTTACTGGCATGCCTATGTGTGTGTGTGTCTCTCTCTCCTTCCCTCTAAAAAATCAATTAAAAATCTTTTAAAAAATAATAAAGGCTTTATATGCAGTTTTTAACTTTATATAATAATAGCAATATTTATTGAACACTTGATATGTACAGAATACATTGTTATGTTCTTTATGTCTATTAACTGACTTATCCCTCACAACAATTCTTTTTTTTTTTTTTAATATATTTTATTGATTTTGTACAGAGTGGAAGGGAGAGAGATAGAGAGTTAGAAACATCGATGAGAGAGAGTCATCGATTAGCTGCCTCCTGCACACCCCCCAATGGGGATATGCCTGCAACCAAGGTACATGCCCTTGACCGGAATCGAACCCGGGACCCTTCTGTCCCCAAGCCAACGCTCTATCCGTCGAGCCAAACCGGTCTTAGCTCACAACAATTCTTTGAGGTAGTAAGTCCTGTTTTCCTCACATTGCTGGTTGATGAAACAGATACTGAGACCTGCCTGAGACCTCACAGCTGCTTAGTGTCCTGCCGGGGAACAATCCATGACCATACAGGGAAGTGGCTCCGTGCTGTGTTCCCTCCGCACGTTCTGAAATAACTTTAGGAAAGTCAGTTTTTTTCCACAAAGAAGAATGTATTATTTGATAATGACTTTTTTACTAAAGATGTCTTTATGAGCGGATTCTGGTTTGTTTTATATAAACATAAAATTGGATTTAAAAATCAGAATGTCACTCATTCTTTTAAATTGTCATTCTTGATAATTGATGACTTTGTATCTTTTTTTTTTTTTACCTTTTAGACTAAATCTGCAGTTTTGTTTTTTCTTTATATTTGTGAATTACACATGAATAAGCACAGTATAGTAAAACCAAGTTTTTGTTCCATGTTTTAAGACAAGCTATAGAAATAATATCTATCTAATGCAGCTTTTTATTTTAGAAGTTCACCATTCTAGAAATGAGGACAAAAATACCTTGTTAAGTTTATGATAGTAAAAAATGGCAAGCTAAATTTTAAAAATTTCTGGGTTTTTTTTCACTGATGAGTTCATCAGCTAATGCATAGCTTTATTAACTTGTCTTATGAGTCTCTAACAACAAACTATGTATTTCAGCTTTTATAAACATCTCTGCCCCCAAACAAAGTTAATATGAATCCATACTAGGCAAAGATAAGTGTTTTTTTTTCCTAAGTTTATTTTATATGCTTACCTTATAAGCCTGTAATTTATTCCCACAACATTATTGTATATTAGAATGACTGATAAAAGCAAACCATCAAGATTATATGATCTGAAAAGCATAGGATTTTTATGGTATAGTTTAAAATATATACTTCCAGGTATGTTCAATTACTCAAAAATGTTTGATCATCTACTTACTACTCAGGGAGTTTACATTCTAATAAGATGAGAAAGATGATAGATGATAGATAGATAGATAGATACCTATAGTATGTCAGAGCTATTGAGGATGGAGGGTAATAAAGTTCCAGAAAGAAGTGATGGCTCTGGGAAGCATTTAAAATGGATAAAGGAACGCCTTATTGGTGAGTCATTTGAGCCAAGCCTGAAAGTTGTGAGCAGGAGAGCCATGCATTTGTCTGGGCTCAAAATTGTTGGGCATTTTTAATCCTCATAGGAATGTGGGTAGATTAATTATATAAAGTCCTATAATTTATTACATGCCAATATATTTCCAATAAATCACATGTCAGAGGATTTTGTAAAATTCCATGTATATGCTAAACAAATGTATGCTTTCATTTCTGATTGACATTTTTCTGGTGTGTGTGGAACCAATTTTGATTTGCTTAGGATAGGGAAATTTGTTGAAAGTAAAGAAGAATATACTTTGACTATTTAATATTTTCCCTAAATATCTTATAAAGTACCAGACTAAACAGTACATGAATACAGTTCATTTATATGTTTTAAAAAAAAAAAAAAAACCTTTTGATTTGGTCAAAATAAGTTTTGAGAAAATTAATTCTTCATGAGAACATTTAAAATTCTAATCAGATATTCAATTATTTCTTAGATGAGAAAGAAGAGGGTATCTTGGGAAGCATATTGTTGCCTAGCTTTCAGATAGCTATGCTTACCTCCGAGGATCACATCAATCGCAAATATGCTTTTAAGGTAAGGAAATATTCAGGCTTTTTAATTCTTAGTTTGAATCTTGCATTGATTGAAAAAATAGATTATTACAAAAAGATATTTCAGTCAGTCATTTTTATATTTAAATATGTTAATAGTCCTGTGATTGAAGAGGAGAATATCCTTCAGTTAGAAAGTCATATATTTAGGCTTTATGTTTATACTTTCAAATGATTCTAGATAAAGCAAATATGTAAAAATGCTAATAATTGGTAGATACATAGCTATAGGTGTTCTGGTGATAATTTTACCATTTTTTTTTAATGTTACTAAATGCTTGAATTTTTCATAATAAATTTTGGGGAATCCTCTCTAATAAAGAGGGAATAGGTTAATTGGCCCTCATGCCTCTCAGAAGTACCTGATATTCACAATGTACTTAAGACTAAAAAAAAAAATCTTCCCACAGCTAAGAAGGAGGGAATATACTAATTGACTGTCACGCCCTCCGAGATGGCAGTGCCCACAGCCAAGAAGGAGGGAATATGCGAATTGACTGCCACGCCCTCAAAGCTGGTTGTGCCCAGTCCCCTCAGCCTCCCAGCCACTCAGGGCAGGCCCAAGGTGCAGGCAAGCCTCGGATGGTGGATGCCCAGTCACCTAGAGCCGCCTGAGGCACAGATAACCAGGGCCAGCGAGGTGCTGCCTTCCCTGATCGCTGAGTCACCTCCTGCCCCTGAGGGCTCCCGGAGGGGGCAGGCCAGACTGAGGGACCTCCCCCAAACAGTGCATGAATTTTCATGCACCAGGCCTCTAATAGTACTATAAGAGACACCAACTATGTACATTTATGATCTTATAGAATATTTGCAAATGTTTTTTCTTTTTTTTTTTAATCTTAAGTACATTGTGAACATCAGGTACTTTTGAGAAAACATTTAAGTTGAGACATAAAATGTATTATTAAATCTAGCAGACCTGAGTATCACCCCCTTTCTTGTTAAAAAGTATACATTTAAAACTGAGTGGCACTGACAATGTTATTTGACCACGGGTTTAGATTTTTGTGTGTGTGCGCGTGTGTGTATTTGTTCGGTGTTTTTTTTTGTGTTTGTTTTGTTAGCTCATTAATTTGGCCAAGGTTTGTTGAATTTGTACTATTCCTAGGATACTTTGTTCGGTTCTTAGGCTCTTAAAAGCAACACTAGAACGTTAAGATAGCAATAAAAGTGGCTGCTAATTGTATTCTCTCTGTAATTATTTGATTTAATTTAAATGTTATCAGTAACGATGATAGTAATTTCTGTTTCAAATCCTCTCTTCTGTGATGTTTCCTCTGAATGTATGAGCTGCTTTTACCTCTCAGTCCGTTGACACTGCTGCTGCTGCTGCTCATCACCATGGTAAGTAGGATCTCACAGACAGCTGTTAGACAGTGCGGGGGGCCTCAGGGCCGACAGGGAACTCTGCCATCGTCCAGTAAACATTTCTGTTTCGCAGGTGGCAAGCCTGTCTTGAGTCAGGGCTGCAACTGGGTCTTCTTAGCACCAGCCAGTCTTCCTTCCATTGATCAAAATATGGGCAGTGATCTTTATTTCTCCAAAATTCCACTCAGACCAGTTACACTTTCTGGTGGTTTTAATTATTTTAGCGACATAAAGCATTTGAGCTATTTCTTTTGTGTGTGTGTGTGTGTGTGTGTGTTTGTTTGTTTGTTCGTTTGTTTAGAAAGAGAGGAAGGGAGATAGAAACATTAATCAGCTGCTCCTGCATGCCCCTTATCGGGGACCACGCTAGCTACCCGGACATATGCCCTGACTAGAAATTGAATTTGTGACCTCTTAGTTCATAGGTAGATGCTCAACCACTGAGCCACACCAGCCAAGCTCTTTTGAGTTATTTCTATAGATCTTTTTTTTAATTTGCATATTAAACTTTTATTGTATCTATAGGTCTTTTTATGTCTTTTACATAGTTAAGTGAGATTTGTTGGTTATATAGTTATTTTGATTAGTGTGTCTATTGAATTTATTTATATTCTGATCCCTTCTGGAGAAAGTGTTGAAGAAGCTAACTGATATTGACAGTTAGGATATTGAAATAAAGTTTGTAGTTCCAGACTTATTTCTCTTGTCTTTTATATTTTGCAGACTACATACTAAGTACTCTTTTCTTTGCCTCATTCTGTTCTGTCATAGCCTTTATTTATTGTTCCTTGTTGCTCATTGTCTAATAAGGAACTGCCATGGGCATCTTCAAATGGAAATGAAGAGTGCTTCCCCCACAGAATCCCCACCATGGCCTGCTTTTGTTTTGCTTTATTTGTTTGTTTTACTTGGATGCCGCTGCTGATGTTGTCCATCTTTGCCAGATCAGCCCCTGGGTTAAGCTGAGCTCAGTGCTCACAACTTGGGTAGCAGTCTCATCTGTACCTTCTTCATTCTGTTTTCCTGTTTCTCTGGAATAGAGGCACATTGAACAAGAAAATTAAACACATCTTACCACTTACATAGGCCTCCTTCCTCAAACCCAAAACACTTATATTTCAACCCTGAAACTTGAGAATAAAAGTTAAAGGGACATACCATTTGGGATTATTGATACATCTGTTATGTTTGTATATAGGTATCTATAAAGATGAGGGTAATGCTTTAAGAGTAGCACCTTTTGAGGACTAAAGGAATGTCTAACAAGGGGAAATACTAAGATATGTACGTATTTATTACTTTTGTTGCTGGTTTCTCTGGGACAATTTTTTTAATGTATTTTTACTGATTTTAGAGAGGAAGGAAGAGAGAGATAGAAATATCAATGATGAGAGAGAATCATTGATCAGCTGCCTCCTGAAAGCCCCCACTGAGGACCAAGTCCGTAACCCAGGCAAGTGTCATGACTGGGAATCAAACCATGACCTCCTGGTTTATAGGTCAATGCTCAGCCACTGAGTCACACTAACCTGGCATGGTACATTCTTGCATAAAGCATGAATTATAGTAAATGGAAATTGCTGGGGACTTTTACATGGGAACGACACAATTAAGTGCTTCATTTTTTGCCTCCTTTCTTCCCGTTCTTTTTTTTTTTTTTTTTTTAAGAAAAATTGTAAAGTTAAAAGGAAAAATTAATATTTATACAGTTTCAAGGTTGAATTATATTTTTCTTAAATCATTTATTTCTATATCTGAAGATATAACAAGTCTGCTCTTTTGAAATTTCATGGTAGTGATCTATATACAAAACCACTTAATTTTTTTTTTTTCTTTTACAGATCCCATAATCCTATTTAAAGCAATTGTGTCATTTTCAATCAGGCAGCCCATCCAAACATGCGGACCTATTATTTCTGCACTGATACAGGAAAGGAGATGGAATTATGGATGAAAGCCATGTTAGATGCTGCCCTGGTACAGACAGAACCTGTGAAAAGGTAAAGGCTTGTAGGAAAAATAAGGGTGATTTCCACTAACATTTTATTCCATGCCTTGTAAGTATGTCATTATCATAGTACATATCATTTTTGTTTAGTAGTCATGGTATGAAATCGTTTCTCAGAAACCAAGGATTCATTCATGTTTTGTATAAAATTAACACACCTTACTAAGTTAGTTTTGAGATACCACCTGCATTTTTATTCCACCTTTCCTCCTCATTCATTTTCACCTATCAGTGTACTGAGGTGAATCCAGAATTCTAACATTCAAACTGAATGTTCTTTCTTCTTACAGAATTACCTTTAATTTCCGGTAAGTACATTTTTAATTGTTATCTTAAAACTCTACAAGATAGGTGTTTTTTTTTAAGGTCCTAAATCTTAGAAGAGAATTTATATTCATGAAGTTAATTTTATTACATTTTAAAAATTATGTTGTGTGTTGTTGTTTTGTTTTTGTTTGTTTGTTTGTTTTTTAATATATTTTATTGATTTTGTACAGAGAGGAAGGGAGAGAGATAGAGAGTTAGAAACATTGATGAGAGAGAGTCATCGATCAGCTGCCTCTTGCACATCCCCTACTGGGGATATGCCCGCAACCAAGGTACATGTCCCCGACCGGAATCGAACCCGGGACCTGTCAGTCCCCAAGCCGACACTCCATCCATTGAGCCAAACCGGTTTCGATGTTGTGTGTTTTTAAAGTTTGATAAATTGAAATAAAATTTTGTTTTGAGTTTTGGTGGGGAATGTGTGTGTGTGTGTGTGTGTGTGTGTGTGTGTGTGTGTGTGTAGTGTGTGTGTGTTTCAGCATTGCTTGGTTAATTGATTGTTTTATGATGAATGTCTCCAGAAAATAATACATCAAGCATATAGATTATTTCTAAATATATCTCCTTTTTGCTGAAATCTACATCATTTCTTTTGAAACCTTAGCACTTAGATTCATTGATAATATGAATATGTACTATTAAAATTAATGTTATTTTTTCCCTGTTTAAACATGGGTCATTTTAATATTAAACTAAATTAAGAACTAGTGAGAGGAAATCTGTTTCTAAAGCTGAATATTGTGCTTTAAAAATATTTTTTATATTCCTATAGTTTAAAAGAAAAATGTATGATAAAGTTAAAATATTTTTTTCCCAGTCAGCGATAATTGAGCAGGTCTTAAAAGGAAAATGCTAACTTGTGCTTCTGGGTATTTTCTCTTCTCAGGAAAAAAGAGGATTGTTTTTAGTCTTTTTTAGTGTTCAGATAAAGTCTTATGACTTTGGCTAAAAGACTTAAGTTGATGCTATGTGTTTGTTTGTTAAAATTCCAAGTTCAAAGCAACTTAAGTAATCACTAGTAATTGAGCCATGAGAAAAATAAGGAGCATAAAAAAAAAAAAAGAAGGCCCGTGATTGAACTCAGGACAGTTAGTTTTAAGAAAAACCACCTCAACTATATGCTTATTCTGGATTGATACCTAATAAAAGGAATTCCATTTGTTAAAATGATTTGAATGAACATAATAGTGAAGTAGTTAGCACTGGTTGCTGGAGAAAACAATGTAGATGAAAATAATTAATGGAAAATCTTAAAATAATTTTAACTTCAAAGTCAATTTGTTAGGGAATTATTTAGAATACAGAAATCAATATATTAATTAAAATATTTTGATTTCCAGATAATTTCAGTATTATATAATCTCAGAACTTTTAACCTTTTTTTCCTGATACTTTCCACTCTAAAAACTAATAACTACTCATAATTTAGGGTAATAAAGATGACAGTCAATATTTTGGTTTGACTTCTGGTAACCTTCTACGTGCCCGTAACAATTTTTAGCCTGTTGTGTGGTTAGCCAGGAATTATTGAACACCACTTAGGTGTCAGTCACTGTTGCCATGTAGAAATTATTTTTTATTTTACTTCTAGCTGTTATATTTTTATCTGCCCTGTTAATATTGATTAAAACTGAAAGTACCTAATTACTGTCATATTTCATTTCGATACTATTGGGGGATTCTCTTTGCTTGGTTTTAGGGCAGTGGGCTCTCTTGCCTATGGCCAGAATACTTAGAAGTATTTATTAAAGCTTATCACCTAAGTGATAAAAACATTTCGTTTTTAACTAGATAGTTCATTGCTTCTGAATTCCTCAAGTGTTTAAGCTGTGAACTTTAACATAGTCCCCTAGTGTGCAGATCATTGATGGAATAAAGCAATCTAAGCATAACATACATTCTCTGAATAATTTCCATCTCCGTGGCCTATTATTTTCATTTTCTGTATTTGCACAGATCTTCTACATTAACTTAAATGACTCTTTTTTTTAATATATATTTTATTGATTTTTTACAGAGAGAAAGGGAGAGAGATAGAGAGCTAGAAACCTCGATGAGAGAGAAACCGACCAGCTGCCTCTTGCACACCCCCCACTGGGGATGTGCCCGCAACCAATGTACATGCCCTTGACCGTAATCGAACCCGGGACCTTTCAGTCCCCAGACCGACGCTCTACCTCTGAGCCAAACCGGCTTTGGCTTAAATGACTCTTTTTAATGTTAGAGCCCAAGCTTTGCATTAGTTGTATTATCCTAGGGTACATTTCCGAATCAGTTTTATTTCAGTTAGAGAAAATCCAGCATGTGTAATTTTTTTTTTTTTTTACATTACATTTTCTTAAATGATACATTTTTTGGGGGGGAGTGGAATAAGATAAAAGGCAATGCAGGTCTAGTTTAAAATATAGCTTTAGATAGACTAGAAGTAACTAAGTTTAAAAAAGTCTTTCCAGATATTTGATATCCATAATAAAAATCCTTCCCTCCCCACCTCCAAATTTAGGATGAGTGTGCCTTTGTGGAAGTCTTCTGACTATTGTCTTTCAAGAGGGAAGGCACTCCGCATAGCATATCAGTAATTTTTCTCAGTATCTATATTGCTTCCAATCTAGATGCTAGATGTTTTATCTAACCAGAATAAATGGGTAGTCCAGAACTTCAAGAAAAATAGTCCTGCCGAAACCAATTTGGCTCAGTGGATAGAGCGTCGGTCTGCAGACTCAAGGGTCCCAGGTTCGATTCCGGTCAAGGGCATGTACATTGGTGGTGGGCACATATCCAGTGGGATGTGTGCAGGAGGCAGCTGGTCGATGTGTGTCTCTCATCGATGTTTCTAGCTCTCTATCCCTCTCCTTTCCTCTCTGTGAAAAATCAATAAAATATAAAAAATAAAAATAAAGGAAAATAGTCCCATTTCACTTTTGCCTCATTGATCATATTCCAAGCTACCTATCAACAGCTGTGTATTATGGATTATTGTCTGCACGTCACTGAAACTGGCAGCAGTGCCACGCTTAGGACTCAATAGCATTTTTACGTAGTGAAGTGTGGCCAGTTCCTGACAGGCTCCCAGCATGGCTTGATCTTGGCCGTTTCATGCAGGTTCAGACGCTCAGTTTGGCCTTGTCAGAGCCTGGAAGTGATCCGTCTCAGGGCAGCTGATGCTCATCAGAAAGACCTAGAGATAGCAGCTGGGATGCTGAGCAGTAAAACTGTCCGGTGGTCCAGACACACACACAGTTCAGCGGCACATCCTTCTGGTGAAAGATGGACATGGGATGCCAGACTCTAATCCAAAATGGCTTGATGGGATGGGGTGATAATGGTAATAAATGTGGCAGCCACTGATGTACCCCTCTGGCCCTCACATCCTTCAGTTATCCCCATTTACCAAAAAGGAGATGGAGGCACAGCAGTTTTCTGCACCTTGCCCAAAGACAGAAACAGCTAGAAGGAGATAGAGCTGGAAGCTGAATATGCGTAGTCTGGCTCCAAGGGCAATTAACCGAAACTCGGATGCTCTTGAACACGAACAGAGTTGGTTAGTCATGTGGTTCAGATCTCTGATAGCACCAGACTGTAATTTCCTGGTGTCATCATTTCCACAAACCAGACTCATGTTTGTCTCATGATGAATTAGCCCTCCTGGCTGGAAACTATGCTGTTTATTTCAAATGGCTAGATGCTGCAGTTCTTCAAATGCGGCTTTTGTGGTTTCACTGCGAAAGGGCAATCTTATTTTGCTTTATTTCCAGATTTCTAATGGTGGGTACACTCACCACTTTTTACTTTCTGTGTGTTTTGTTTCATACAGGGGATCTGTACTAGCTTGTCCTTAGTGACCCTGGTAGGGGCTTTTGTTTTTGTTTTGTTTTATTTATTTATTTATTTATTTATTGTAAAAGGTAATTTTACATCTTTCCTAGATTGAATCGCAGAAATAATATGTCCATTGTTTCATCTGACTCACTATGATTTTCTTCTCTGATTTCAGAGTGGACAAGATCACATCTGAAAACGTACCAGCGAAAGAAATCAATAACTTTCCCAACCATCGAATGCTGATTAAACCGGAGGTCCAGAATAACCAGAAAAACAAGGAAATCAGCAAAAGTGAAGAAAAGAAGGCGTTAGAAGCTGAAAAATATGGATTTCAGAAGGATGGTCAAGATAGACCACTAACAAAAATCAATAGTGTCAAGTTGAATTCTCTGCCATCTGAATATGATGGGTCAACAGGCCCGGCTCAGACCGGACACTACAGGCCAGTCAATATGAATAGTTCAGAGAACAAAACAGTCAATGTTAGCCTGGCGGATCTCAGAGGGGGCAGTCACCCAAACTCGGGGCCCTTCCACCCGGAGGCTGACCGCATCATACAAAGAACCAACTCAATGCAGCAGCTGGAGCAGTGGATTAAAATCCAGAAGGGGAGGGGTCAGGAAGAAGAAGCCAGGGGGTGAGTGTCTTGTTGTTGCGTGTTATGAGCCTACGTTTCTTTCATGCTGTATTGGGGGAGATTGGCTTCTGAGATGCCAGTTAAAGGTGTTACTTGTGATTTAGGTGTTATAGTTTTGTTACTATATCTTTTTTTTTTTTTTTTAATAATCAAATGGGTGTGTTTTTCTCTGTCTCCTATTGTTGTCACCCAACTTTACTAGTAATGACCAGGAGTTATTCTCCCGTGGCCCAGGAGAAGGCTTAGGTTGTGAGTAGAGATCATGTTTGTTTGGGATAACCCTCTCTTCCCCCATCTCCCTCCTCTGACTGACTTCTGTTGGTAACGTTTGCAGAGATCTCCTGTGGCAAGTAACGGAAATAATGGCTTATGCTCTCTAGTTCTCTATCTCCTTCCCTGACTTTTTTTTTTTTTTTTAATATATTTTATTGATTTTTTTTATTTTTTATTTTTTTACAGAGAGGAAGGGAGAGAGATAAAAGAGTTAGAAACATCAATGAGAGAGAAACATCGATCAGCTGCCTCCTGCACACCCCCTACTGGGGATGTGCCCTCAACCAAGGTACATGCCCTTGACCGGAATCAAACCTGGGACCTTTCAGTCCGCAGGCTGTTGCTCTATCCACTGAGCTAAACCAGTTTCAGCTTCCCTGACTTTCTTAACTCACAATACACATGACTAAGTATTATATTTATTCATCTAAGCATTTATCGTTCATGCACACACATGTTCTTTCATACGTTTATTGATCAGTACTATGTGCTAATCATGGGACCAGAAGATAAAACAATGAAAAGGTACAGTCCAGATTTCTCCCAGAGGTTCTTACCTAGGAGGGGAGAAAGCTAAATAAACGAGTGCAGTATCTAGTGACAGATATTATGGAGGAAGAACAGGATGCTATAAGAACGTGCTTCAGAGACTGCCAGTGCAGTCTAGAGGTTCCCACAAAAATCTTTCTGGAGGAGCAGGATAGAGTCGACATACAAATATGTGCTCCTGTTGGTTTAGATATGCAGAAATACAGATTAGATAGAGAGCAGGAAAAGGAATCCAAAGACATTCAGTATAGCTTAAGTACACAACTGCTACAATGCTGGATGAGAAACGAGGCTGGAGAGATAAGCAGGAATATATGTATTCAGATTTGTGTTCTGGAAAGACCATCCTGGCTACAGAATCTGGAGAATAAATTGGAGGAAGTCCAAAAGCTCTTGGGGTAACTGAAATGAGGAAGGGGCAGGGGGGAGTGGAATGTGACGTGTTCAAGATACATTTGACTTGTCTAGTGGAGTGCTCGAATGTGCTTGATTGCAAACTGGTCTCGCTCAAGTCCGGTGTGAGTGACTGAGCAAATCAAGAAAGAATCCCTGCTCTGGGGCCTGGTCATCAGAGTTGCCTGGTGCCTTTTACTGTGCGGGAAAGATTTGGGAAGAGAGGAGGTCATGAATGATGGTGCAGGGTAAGTTAAAGGGTGAAGGGGAAGGAGTAAGGGACTGTCTGCAAAGGAGTCAAAAATGAAGGCCAGAGGAAATGGAGGAAAAGCAGGTACCTGTGGGAAGAGAAAAAGTGCTCTGTCGTTCATCAGGAATTTAATGATGCACAATTCACGAAGTTCTCTAAGGTATCGGCATATGTACATAAAAATTAACTTCAGAGTTATTGTAACTTACCTCTCAGTAACAGAAAACCAGAAAACAAAGGCATTGATTGATGTTTTTGATTAAGTGAAGATTAACTTATCTTAATAGTAAAACTCCTAAGATATAGGAAGGTGCCTCCAGTTTGCTCAACATCCGCAGTTGTTTGTCTTCTGTCCAGCAGCACAGCTCACACGCCTGGGTGCGCTGGCTCCATCTTTGGTTCGCTCCCCCAAGGTGCAGACACATTCTCCGGGGATATGTGGTTCACTTCTGTATTCTTCCTCCCTACCCTCAGGGGGGCTCCCTTTTCTAACGTCCCCAGGGGAGAATTGCCAGAATATTTGCTATTTCCCAAAAGTAAAATTTGATTAGACCGAAGAGGAGCCAGAGGTGGTTCTGGGAAGAAAAGAAAGAAAGGATGTTTGGAAATACGTATTGAGGTAGTAATCATTTTCAGGCAACAACACTAAAAACGCCAGCCAGAAGAATTGCAGAATGTGCACCCAGCAAGTCAAATCTCACTTCTTTGTGCAATCACTTTTCTACACGTAAAATCATACTTTCTTACGGTTGAAAGTTAAAAAAATAATAATAATAATAAAAAAAAGTTCAACAGATAGCTGGGAGTTGGTTTTAAAATGGTGGAGCATGGCAGTTGGTTCCCAGGCACTGTTAGGCCCCTTGATGGGTATAATTCACATCCATACAAACTTTCTGCGGCTTTTTCCTTCCGAAGGCAGCTTCTGCAGGCTGCTGGCCCGAGGTTACTTTGAGCTAAGGTTTTTCTGCCTTGCTCTTCCAGCCTTGGCTTCACTGGCTCGCGTCCACTATGGACCACTGAGATATATCATCTCCATTATTATGTAAACCTCTTACTGGGAGAAAAAAAAAAATAGTTGCGATGTTTTGTAATGAAATAACTTAATTTTTATTGGTGGGTAGAAGCCTAATGGCATTCCACAGTAATCGTTTATTTCGTAAAACTTTTAAGAAAGGCTTGCTTTTCTTCTTCACGTTCTGAGTAGGCCCCGGCGTCTGTGAGCAGAGCCTCCAGCCTTTGTGAGTGGGGGGCACTGCCGAGGGGCACCAGGCCTCGGGCCATTGTTCTGCTTGGCGGGATCCTGGGGCCTGGTCTTTCAGGCTCTTGACAGGCAGCCGCTGGTGAATGGAGCACTAAACCTGACGGAGGAGCCCCGGGGTTCCTTCTTTTAAGCTTTCACTTAAAAGTAAATCACATTTTTCCTTCATCGGAATTTATTTGAGGAAGACAGAAGGAAACTGTCATGTTTTTTTTTGTTTGTTTGTTTGTTTGTTTTTTTTGAAAAACGGGTCTCAAAATGCTGGCCAGGCTATGGGATAAAAAATAAACTTACTTGGTCAATAACCTAATTTTATTAAAAAAAAAAAAAAATCCCCAAAAGTGGTCCCAGAGCTGGCAGAGGAGGCTTTAAAACTTTGTGGTCATTCATTAGTCCAGCTGAGTAGGAAAGCAGCCTGTGTTGGTAACCATGTGATGGGCTTACAGATCAAGTTCCGTACACACCGCTATCGCAGGGTGCAGCTCACGTGTGAGGAGCGCGTCAGAGCACGGCCGGGTGTCTGCTGTGGTTACATTTTCCGAACTGGAAGCTACACGTTAGTTCACAGGCAGTTTTGAGTGTGTTTTGGATGGGCAATGGATGCCCCTTCTTTATATGATTGTAAATGACCTTTTCACATACATATGGTATTTCCAAACTCGATATAAAGTTAGTACCATTTATATTTTCAGTGTCTGCTTCTGTGATGTAGTTTAGTGCCCCATCTAGAGCCTTTTGCATGTCAAGGCCACTCGAGTATCTCTTGAGTATGTGGAAGAGCAAGTAAACGAAGGCATGCCGGGTAAATTACTTTGGTACTAGAGCAGAATGCCTCAAATAGCATCAGATTCCCTGACTGGCAAGCATCTTCTAAGTAAGAAAGCCAGATCCCTCACATTTTCAGTTGACCAGATTTTGTTCCCAGTTTTATGTCAGAAATGTTGGGTTTTAAGTATTTTGTCTTTAGGTTTTTAGCTTCAGCGTTAAGTGATTTTTATTTTTCAAATTAAGAAAAGTAACCAGGGGAAATTATTTCTTTAAAACACAAGGGTACTGACGTGCCTTTTCCATGATCATGCCTTCTGTAGGAAAGGGTACAATAGAGGAGCCACATAGACCTGCAATTAATTATTCAGTTCCTGTCTTCATGTTTTTTGGGCACAACTCAAAGACCTCGGTATTCCATCCATATACAGAAATCCTACTTAACTGTCTAGTGATATGTATGAGAATGAGATTCTGGGAGTTTGTTTCATATACAAAAACAAATAAGATGTGAGACAAATACGAAATTAGATATTGAATATTCTTTGTTATAAAAGAAGTATAAATAGCCTTTCTTCTTTAAACCACATTGTGCAGAACTGATGGTCTTTTATGTAAGTGCCATAGATGCTGTTTATGTAATGTACTAAATCCATCAAATTAAATTTCATGAAAAGATTAAAATGTGTTCGTTCATTAATAATGTATGCCTTGTATAATAATCACTAAGTTGATCTTTAAAAAAAAAAAAAAAGTCCTCAGATGTATTGTACTTACCAGAAGAGGAAAAAAAAAATGCAGAATCTGGAAAGCAACTCTCCCCTTCATTTTTTATCTTTCAATTCTTTCGTTTTAGAGTAACTTCGTACCAAACGTTACCGAGGAATATGCCCAGCCACCGAGCCCAGGTCGTGGCCCGCTTCCCTGAAGGGTATAGAACGCTCCCGCGCAACAGCAAGACCAGGCCCGAGAGCCTCTGCAGCGTCACCCCGTCCCCGCAGGACAAGACGGTGGGGCCCGGCGCCGAGGAGAAGCGGAGGTCCATGAGGGACGACACCATGTGGCAGCTGTACGAGTGGCAGCAGCGCCAGTTCCACAACAAGCAGAGCACCCTCCCCCGGCACGGGACCCTGCCCAGCCCCAAGACCATGGTGAACATCTCGGACCAGACCATGCGCTCGATCCCCACGTCACCGTCCCACGGGTCAATAGCCGCTTACCAGGGGTACTCTCCCCAGCGGACCTACAGGTCAGAGGTGACCTCCCCGATTCAGAGAGGAGACGTGACGATAGACCGCAGGCACAGGGCCCACCACCCGAAGGTAAAGTGTCTGCTGATCTTGTGTCAGCCGCTGCTCTATGCGTGCTGTGGTGTGTGGGTTTTTTTTTTTCTAGTACACTCACTAGTCTCTCGTTTATTTATTCATTTACTTATTTTTATATTTTTTTTTTGGTGTGCGTTTATTTTTATTTTTGAAGTAATTTTAAACTCACAGGACAGCTGCAATGAATGTGCAGACAGAAATATAGGGAGAAACAGGCAAGGTAGCTCCTTTTTTGTTGTTGTTGTTTTTAAAATTAAGGAAGAATATTCTGCAGTGTCAAAACCTCATGTCAAACCTCTCAGGAGTACAGGAACAGTTCTGGAGCGAATGCATTATGCATTCTTCTGCTTGGTGGCGTCTCTCATCCGCTTCCCACGTACGTTCAGACCACATGCATTTCTATTGGCTCTTCACTCACATGCAGATTCTACACCTGCCAACCTTGTCTCCTGACCACCAGCTGAGTACATGGCATATTGCAATATCTCCTTACATACTAATTTAATATGAGAATAATGACGCTTACTAGTGTAGACTTCTAAAGAATTGCGATTAAGAGATCATGTTTTAATTCGTATCTTAAGTCAGTTAAAGCATTGCTTAGCAGATTATTAGAAGTGACTTTGGGATGTTTTTATCGATCAGCTAGCTTCTCGTAATGCTAAAGAGTTGTTTCGATCAGACAGCCTGTTCTCTGATGGCTGTTATTTTCTTTTTAATTATAAAGAATTTCTTGCTTTATACCACTTTAAGATACACTTGTTCTTATCCTTGTGATGGACTGAATCTTTCCGATACAGCATTGTCTAAAGCCTTTGCTTGCTTTTTCCATACATAAGAGTTAGCTAGAAGTTGACAAGTCATCCAGAAGTTTCTGATTGGTGGAAGTGAGCCTTGCCCAGGAAAGGGTCACTTTGAACTTCACTGTCACTAAGTTGTAGTGTCTGTCACTTTGTACATCCAAAGGCAAATCGTATGTGATAAAGATAGTAACCACGTTCTAGAGAAATCTGATCGAATACAACTTATTAATGTGTGCTTGAAAAGTGTTCTCATATTTATTAGAATTTTTTGTATTCCCAGCCAAAATTTATCACGTTTGTTTGTTTTTGTTTTTTAATCTTCACCCAAGGCTATTTTTCCATTGGTTTTTTAGAGAGATTGTAAGATAGAGGGAAAGACAGAGAGAGACATCGATTGGTTGCCTCCTTAGAAGGGGCCTACAACTGAGGTACATGCCCTTGACCGGAATCAAACCCAGAACCCACAGGCGTATGCTCTATCCACCGAACCAAACCAGATAGGCCTATCATCTGTTTTAACAATAAATAGCAAATGAATATGTGCTCTTTATTCCGTTCCCAGTTAATTCCTCCTCCCCAGTAAACTTCCCCAACATTGCCAGTTCTCCCCACCCGACAACAGTCTGGTCTTTGATGTGATCAGTGGTTCTCGAAGTATGGCCCATAGACCACTGGGAGGGAGGTGGGGGTTTCCCTGAGGATCCCCATGATTCTCTCAGTAAGTAAGTTCAAAACTATTTTTATTATAATAAGGCATTTTCCATTGTGCTACCATTTTCAAAGAGTGCCAGAGCAGTGGTGGGTAGAAGTACTGATTGATACCTTAGTCTAAATTGAGGGGCTCCAAACTCTGCTAGAGGTCCTTGTATGCTTCGCGGCCTTATACTTGCGATAAAAATAATAAAGGAGCAGTTTCTCTTAAGATTCCCTTTGAGCCCTGGCTGATGTGGCCCAGTTGGTTGAGTGTTGGTTCCATGTTCCAAAAGGTTGCAAGTTAGATTCCCAATCGGGGCATGTGTCCAGGTTTGGGCCATGTACCTCAGTAGGGGGCATGCAGTAGGCATCTGATTGATGTTTTTCTCTGTCTCTCTACCTCTCCCTTTCTCTCTCTCTCATTTCAAAAAAAGAATCCCTTGTTAAAACAGTAAAGGACAGTTTTATCATTTCAATATTCTGTGTGATGAAATAGGAAATATACTTCCAGCATTTCTATTGCATACCAGAGTACTAATGGTTGTCTCCCAGAAAAAACACTTGCATGATTGTTTGAGTTGCAAGCTGAACTAGCTGCTTTTTTTTTTTTCCATGAAACACCATTTTTACTTGAAAGAATGAATGACAAAGTATAGTTTTAATATTGAAACGAATGACAGACTTAGTATTTGACAGACCCTCAAAGTGAAATGTTAGCCCGTCACTTCATGGAAAGCAGCTGACAGTATCTGTCACTGGTGACAACGTTTGAGCTTGCAAGCAAAAATTAGAATTTTGGAAATCTCGTATCTGCTTCTGTGAGCTTGCTAGTTTTCCCGTGCTTTAAGATCAGTGGTGGTACTAACAAATGGGAATTACTAGTGCTGTATGCTGAGATCAAGTTTATCAATCTGCATAACTCACCAAATCAATATTTTCCACGTGACTAATGTTTGATCCTACAAATTCATGAATGGATAGGAGAGTCATTTAAGCTGCAAATAAACTAATGGATGTTACTGAAACAGTGCGAAAGCTTATTGATACAGTTTTAGATACCACTTTGCAACTAATCTTTAAGAAAATATCACTTCTCACCAAAACAGGTTTGGCTCAATGGATAGAGCGTTGGCCTGGGGACTGAAAGGTCCCGGGTTCGATTCCGGTCAAGGGCATGTACCTTGGTTGCGGGCACATCCCCAGTAGGGGGTGTGCAAGAGGCAGCTGATCAAAGACTCTCTCTCATTGATGTTTCTAACTCTTATCTCTCTACTCTCTCTCATTGATGTTTCTAATTCTTATCTCTCTCCCTTCCTCTCTGTACAAAAATCAATAAAATATATTTTTTTTTAAAAAGAAAATATCACTTCTCAAAATTTAGTGTAATTTCAGAGATACTTAAAATTATCCAAAAGAGCTATTTTAAAAATATATATTTTATTGATTTCTTTACAAAGAGGAGGGGAGAGAGAGAGAGAGCTAGAAACATCAATGAGAGAGAAACATCGACCAGCTGCCTCTTGCACACCCCCTACTGGGGATGTGCCCAAAACCAACGTACATGCCCCTCACTGGAATCGAACCTGGGACCTTTCAGTCCTCAGACTGACGCTCTACTACTGAGCCAAACCAGTTTCGGCCAAAAAAGCTATTGAAGTTCTCCTTCCTTTTCAATATCTATGTACTATATATTGTAGGTGGGATTTTCTTTGTGTACTTCCACTAAAAAGATTATCACAATAGATTGAATACAGCAGCAAATATGAAAATCTAGCCAGACATTAGGGAGATTTTCAGAACTGTAAAACAGTATCCCCCTTGTCAGTAAATTTTCTTTTTAAGGATATAAAGGGCTCCTGAGATCAATAAGTTGAAGAACCACTGAGCGATAGAGAATTACCCTGTCGGCATCTATATTTTAGTCAAGAAATTTTAGTATCTATTTTGGGGGGGGGGTTGTTGTTGTTTTGGGTTTTTTTTGTTTTGTTTGTTTTTAATTAATTTATTTATTTTTCTTTATTTTATTTGTTTTTCTATCACCATTTACCCCCTGTCCACAAACCTCCAATATCCTTTTCCACCTCCACCAGTATCTATCTTCTCTCATAAGCACTACAGCAATTTTTAAATGGTGTTCTACACTGTAAATTTAAGATTTCTCATCTCTCACATTGACCACAGAAATATGTATGTTGTGCCTTTGTTTTCCTAGCATGTCTATGTGCCTGACAGGAGGTCAATGCCAGCTGGCCTGACTCTACAGTCTGTCAGTCCCCAGAGCCTGCAAGGCAAAACAGTGAGTATGATATCTCTGTTTACCATATCGTGTTTTATGTATGTGCTGACATGATAGCACATATCTGACATAGCTTGTAAGTTTGAATTTTCAAACCGGTGCCTCCCAAAGAAAAGCCCTGCATGTTTTTGTGGAAGACAATGCTCATCAGAAGAATTTGGAGTCGTGTAGCCATTTCAGAGTCCGGCTGGACAGCTCTCCCTACAATGTCTGACTGCCTCCATCTAAGATCATATTTTGACTTTTTATTGTAGAACCTGAGTGGGTTTCTCTACCGCGTTGGGTGTTGATCCCCTCATCCTTAAGACGGAAGTTGGAATAGGTCATTAGTGGAACCAATTCAGCAAGCAGCCATGTGTAGTCAAAACTACAAGCCTCATAAGAAGTTTCTCCTGTGGATTTTTAGATAGATTAACTACTTTGGAGCAGAATAAAAACTAATTTGCATATTTATGAAGAGAAAGAGAGACTATAAAAATACTTAATCATTATCATTTTATTATCAGTGTTATGTTCAAGGTGAGAAGGAGCTATATTATCAGGACACTATTATTCAAGTTAAAGAGAAAAGATGACTTTTCATCATTTTATTTAATGGCATTCTTTTATCAGGAGAACTATGCTTTAGTGTCTCTCAGTAGGTAGTTTCGCTTTCTGTGGAGATGTGATTTGAAGACCTATATGCTGTAGTTGTTCCTTATTTAAAATTCTCTTCCTGCAGTAATCAGAACAAATTCATCGTAGATGGATTTTACAAACATTCTTTTATCTTTTACACACTTAGATATAAGGAAGATTCCCTGGCTTTAAATTACTTGCGATTTATTCATTCAAGGTTAAAATATTGCTTGACTAAAATTAAAAACTTTTAGATGTTGGAATTTTAAAATATTAAATTGTAAATCTAACGAACAGACATTAGACATGAGGTAATGCTAAATGTCATATTATAAAATATTCTCTTCTGCCTTGCTCCCTCTAGTGGGTATTTAGGATAAAAATTATTTAGCATCTACTTTTGAGGGAGTCAGATGTGCCTCTTTTTTATTTTGATTCAAAATTCAAATATCTTGTAAACTTAATTGGAATATTTCATCCTTCTGTGGGAATATCTCTTTATCTTTTTAACTCCATAAACAACATACCAGAGTTTGAAGATTTATCTTGGTATGTCTGCCAAATAGCACTCTGGTATTTGTTTCTCTTACTCCACCCTACCCTCTCCCTGGTCAGGCCCCAGGGGCTTGGTCATAAGACAGAGACTACCCACAGTCATGAGGTCACAAGCTGCGGTTAGCATCAGTTTAAAAGCAACTATTCTTTTTGTTACGAAATTTCTTCTTCAAGTCATACACACATTCTTAGACTATTACTGTAAAAGACTTTTGTCTCATCTCTAAACTCAGTTTTTATCTAAAGAAGCCAGTAGCAACAGGTTTATTTACTTTTGACGTTTTTCTCACCTCAAGGCCCAAGTTTCTAATGTCATTTTAAATAATAATTTAAGATTATTTCTGTCCCTAAAAATAAAATGGTATGGGGGTAAAAAAAGAGCAACAGCAAATGAACAACAGAAGGAAGCTGGTATAAAGCTGTGCTGTGGGCAAAACCAATCCGCTCTCAGGGAAGCTTTTGGCCTGGAAGTTTGAAAGCACCCTGTAGCCCTGAGGTGAGGAGGGCCTCCCTCTGGCCTGGCTGCAGTTTTTAATCGGAGCAAAGCTCAAGAGAAACGCCCACTGCTGTTTTATGGCTCATAACACTGCCAGCGTTCATACTTTACTGTATTTCTAACAAAGAAAAACTTACCAGATTGGCCTGGTGGGGAATCTTATCTACCTTCGATTTTTCTCCCTCTTGGGGGTGATAGGAACCAGTTGGAAACCACAGTGATTCTCTGCTTTCCCCAGAAGGTAGAAGGAGGTTGCTGAACTGATGAAAACTTTCTATGAATATTCAAATTTTTTTTTTTTCTTAAAAAGTCAAAACTGTTTTTTTATGCTATGAAGGTACTACCAGTGGCATTTAAAAACATAACTGGAAAGCAATGAACAGATCCCAGGTACTAAGTTTAATGATGGAAAGGTATCATCCAAGTGTTACGTGAATTTTAATTCTTTCTATTTACCTTCTATTTTGTAAAATAGAGCGTTGGACATGCCAGTATTATTCTGTTGGTGTAAAAGTCTTAGGTGTCATTTTAAAACATCTTATTGAACTAGTTTTAATAATCTTTTGATACCTCTAATATGCAATTTTTGTCATGCTTTTTAGCAGTATGCTTTTTTTTATGCTTAACATTTAAATTTCTCTCATGACTTCTGAGAAAATTGCCTTAATATACTGCCTTTTTGTCCTTCTTTTAAAGTAACACTGTTCCTTCTATTTCTCTAGATGTCTATGCATTTATGTAGGACCTATCATCATAGTGCTTAGGCGCTATGTTTGATGTCAGCCATGAGAGGAAACTTGCCAAGAAATCTTGGTTTAATGTCTTGTCCCTTAAGACAACCATTAATCTGTTTTCCACTGTTTGGATTCTTAAATTGTACTCCTTCAGCCAGAGGAGCTTACGCTGCTGCTCATAAAGCTGAGACGGCAGCAAGCGGAACTGAGTAGTATCCGGGAGCACACGTTAGCACAGCTCATGCAGCTAAAGCTCGAGGCCCACAGCCCGAAGGTCAGCTATGAACAGCGTTGTCTGTGTCGTCTGCCATTGTCACCTATTAATCAGTCTGATCGGGGTCATTGGTGGTGAGCATGAGCCCATACCGTCATCGCAAGGACAGCAATGTTAGGATCGCCTATTGACCCTTTGAGAACTCATGTGTTTGCATATCCTCTTAAAATACCGGGAGGATGCATTGCTCCTTAGCCTTCCATCCACCCTCTTCCCTGCCAACTTTTGGTTGTGAGCAGTGACATTCAAACAGACTTCAAAATAGTGTTGTCACCTAACCAAATCCTGTAACTTCCGCCTCTGGTAAGACGGATATTGAAAAGTCCTATAATTTCCCATCAAGCAATAAGTTGAAAATTGATTATAGTTCTAATACTACTATATTGATTATAGTTCTAATACTACTTATTAAATATCAGAGATTACTTTTAAGATATTTCTTTTGTTCTTAATTAAAAAAGAATGGACACATGCAAACATTTCTCAAAGGGTTTAATAGCCTCTAATTATATGAGAAAGATCCAAAGAAGCATTACTATGCTGCAGAAAAGAATTAACCTGGAAAGCTTCTACCATTGCGTCTGCTGAAGCCATGTGAAGGATTTTTCTGCTTAACATTTCGGCTTGTATGCATGTCTACTTAATTTCGTAGAAAACTAAGTATAATCTTATAATAATTTCATATGTCATCTGTATAGGGGAGCATGTGTATCAAAGTTACCGTGATATTGTGATATTATAGGTTGTGGTAAACTACCTGCTTTTTCTTATTTCAAAATTGACCTTTTCATGAATTCTGCCCCTTCTTTCTCTACTCCTTTGTTTCTTGATTGATGCCTACTAGAATGAAATTCTTTCGCATCATCTTCAAAGGAACACCATATATTTGGATCATCAGGTGGGATTTGTGGAACTTTCTTAACATATAATGCCTAAGAGAACTCTAAATGTAGTGCGATTTTTCAGGCCAATTAGATATCTCTGTCGTTTTGAGTTAAGAGCATGACTTTTACAAGTGCCGGGATGAGACATCCGTAGCTGGGTAAATTCAGGAATACCATAACAACAGGTAGAAAGGCAGTTGTAGAGGAAAGGAGCAGGGACGCAGATGCTGGGTCACCTGAAAGTGAGATCCTGGATTCTCTAGACTTCTTTATCATCCCAAGAAACCTCCTCCTCATCAAAGCTTATCTCAGTGTGGCCTTGACCATAAAGAGAGGGGCCTCGCGCTGGGCCTGCTCTGGTGGGAGGGGAGGAGGGCAGGTGCAATGCAATCTGTTCCCCCAGGGGGAGCTTACGGACAGGTGAAGTGGGGCCTGAAGATAATTTTTGAATGTGCGTCCTACTCCCTTATTTGTCATCTCCTCCCAGGGCTGGGTCTTTGCTAAGCCACAGAGTCCGTTTCACTCCGTGGTGGCAATGAGTGGGACTGGTTAAGGTGAAGATTCAAAAGTGAGAGGGGCAGGCAGCTCGCGAGCCAGGACTGGCACTTCCACGTTCCAGTTTTTATGAAATTCTCTATTAATATTTGATTTTGATTGGATGAGAATTTAATGTTCTTAAACAGCATCTCTTCAGTAAATCCATTTTGAGCTTGTTTTTAAAATATTCATGCTTGAATATTTTACCATGAAAGAAGTTACTGTGGAAAAGATGATGTTTATCTTTGCCTGTTTGAAACAAAATAATGTAATGCTTTTTAAGTTATTTTTCTAATTTAAAGGGGGATTTTACATTAGGATAACCCTTTAAAAAGGTGTTTGTTAAGTCATTCTTCCTTTAATTAAAAAAAATACATATATTGGTAAACGTAAAATTTATTTTTCCGCAAAACGTTTTCTTCCTGATTTTGCCAATGAGAATGCTTTAGAAATCAGCATTCGTGAGTCCAAATTCAGATTTTCCCTCCAGGACTGGTGCTACTGAAATTTCACCAGTGTATGTGGTATACTTTGAAAGCACCCTAAAAGAAAAGTCTCCCCTCAAAATTCCACACTGCCAAAACACTACTACAATACATGGGAAATAATGGTCTTAAAACTCCTTTGTCTAAAAAAGGTAGAGATAGCGCAGAAAAACAGTGGAATGTTACAAAAATTAGGCTTAAAATACAATGATATAAATTTGAATTGAAGTTATCGCAATTCCCTAGAAGTAAACCTAGTGGTTTGCTGTAATTTATTATTCACCCCAATAATCAAAACTGGAATTGCAGAGGCATAGAACTCGAGAAAATCTTAGGGAAGGACAGATCAATATATCGAAAATTCGACTCTTTGCTGAGATGCTCCTCCTCAGCTCTCGTTCCCCGGACGAAGGAACCTTCCCTTTACCTGGGTGACCCAGACCACAGTGGCGGTTTCCTCTCTGAGCATGCTCTGCTGAGCCTTCCCATGGCACCCGGCTAGTGGTCCTACAGGAGGCTTCTACAATGTCAACTTTTTATTGAGCCTCTCTCGTCTCTCAACATGGCAGCAGAGGTTTTCCAGTAATCCACCTTTTTCTTGTATTAGATCCTAAAATAAAGTTGTATTATTCCAACCCTTAAGTAATACGATCATGTAAAGCATTACAGAACCTGTCCTGGCCAGTGTGTCCCAGTTGGTTCAGCATCTCCTCATGCACCAAAAAAGGTCCCTGGTTCAGTTCCCAGTCAGGATACATACCCTGGCTGCAGGTTCAATCCCTGGTCAGTCTCCCGTATACAGGAGACAACCGATGGATGTTTACTAGTATCTCTCCCTCCCAGTCTCTGAAATCAACAAAAAACATATTAAAAATAATTACAGAATTTGACTGCTTGAATTGTTTTGAATTGAGACTATGTCCGAAGGGAAAAAATATTGGGCCAATTTTAGAAAATCGAACAATTTATAAAAACACGATGGGAGCTTCGCTCAGAAACTCAGATACCGGTATTCTTAAATGCTTATGTCCTTACGGTTTCCTAAAGAAAATCCTTCTTTAAATCAAAACTTATTATGGTTTCAAATAACTGCTGCTTTCGCATCTTATTTTTTACTATCCTATATTTCATATCAGTAGTAAGCTTACTAAGTTTTATAAAAATAATTATTAATAATTTTGAAATTTAATAATAAATTTTAATTCAGCTCAAACATTTCCAGCTTTTAATCTTGTTACTGCCGGTAACCTACTTTAAATTACCAGGTCTGTTAATTTTATAGGCATTAGTGTTTGCCTGGGTCTATAAATTAATTCATCAGTTTTATATAAGTACAAATTGGGAAATAGATTTTAAAATCTTAAAGAGAAAGGAAAAGGCTCTGGTCCCATTTTATGCTATTTATCATACCAAATGAACATGTACTAATTGATACACATTTTCAACCCTTGTTCTGCTTGCTCTAATAAATCATCAGAATAGCCTAAGGCCAACAAAATGCACCTTCCTCCTGCCCCTTGTCACACTCCACCATCATCAAAGAAGAATTTTAATTGATTTAAGTTCTTTCAATTCCTGTCATTATTCACGAAAATAAAACCAAGGGGTGGTCTCTGAGTTGCTTCACAAGTAAATTCATTTCTTATATTTCTGGAATACTTGCAATAATAATTAAAAATACCTATTGGAATTCTGAGGACTAACATATTACACAGTCAATCCAAAAATCTTGACTTCTGATATCTGTAAGTTGAGCAATATAATTTGGTTTCTAATTATCGTTATGAGGACAAGTTATGTACAAAAGTGCTTTTATTTTTTATTTTTTTAATATATTTTATTGATTTTACACAGAGAGGAATTGAGAGGGACAGAGAGTTAGAAACATCAATGAGAGAGAACCATCGACCAGCTGCCTCTTGCACACCCCCCACTGGGGATGTGCCCGCAACCAAGGTACATGGCCTTGACCGGAATCGAACCCAGGACCTCTCAGTCCCCAGGCCGATGCTCTATCCACTGAGCCAAACCGGTCCCGGCCAGAAGTGCTTTTAAAAATAACAAAAGCTTTGGTAGAATTTCTCCCTGCGTTTTTTGTTGTTGTTGTTTTCATTTTGAAGTATACTATTCTAGTTTGTTTTTACAGCTCAGTAGACTATTCAGAGTCTACATTTATTAAGACTAGTGTAGGTTGCCTAACCAGTTTGGCTCAGTGAATTGAGCGTCAGCCTGTGGACTGAAAGGTCTCATGTTCAATTCCGGTCAAAGGCATGTACCTTGGTTGTAGGCACATAACCAGGAAGAGATGTGCAGAAGGCAACTGATCGCATGTTTCTCTCCCATCGATGTTTCTCTCTCCTTCCCTTCCTCTCTGTAAAAAAAAAATCAACAAAATATATTTTTAAAAAAGACTAATGTAGGTTTATTTGTTATTTTTGTGAATTTCCAGAAAATATAGTTCCATAGTATTACCTGGGAATATACAATAATGCTAACTGTGTACTTTATATACCTCATCCAGGTCCTATTTCTTAAATGAATAAGTACATAATATATCAGTAGCTTACTTTTCTTCTCATTCAGCTTACTTATCACCGAATAGGAGGCGAACTTTTGGTTACAATTTAAATGAAACTTGCAAGCGTCATCCTAAAATATACCTATAAAACTGATTTCACATTTATTAGTTTTTCCTCATTTATTTCTCTTTCTAGCAGAATACAGAAAGGGTGGCAGGCGCTATCAGTAAAATTTTGCAGTGGGTCTGTACTTCCCAGGAAGTGGGAAATAAGTTCAAGGTTATCCGCCCTTATAATGGAGTAGCCTCTGGAAGAGAATGTCGTAGTGCCTTGAGAGTGAGGGAGAAGAGAATATCATGCTACACTTTCTTCTCAGAACAGGGCAGATTGAGCATGATTTTTGTGACTGTATGGCCCTGCTGAACGATCATTTGATGGTTAGGAGTTCCTGATGTTTCTGTGGAGTTAAACATAATTCATCTATAATAATAAAAGAGTAATATGCTAATTAGACCAGTCATCCTTCCAAATGAAGCCAGAACTAGAGGGAAGCCCGAGTCCCGGGTGCCAGAGGGAAGCCGGTGCTGGCGGCAGGGGGAAGGCAGGCCCACTCTTACACAGATTTTGTGCACCGGGCCTCTAGCTGAGGTAATGGTTTCCAGAGCACCTTATTGTAGTCAGCCATCTGGTGTTCAGCTGTAAGATATAGGAAGGGCATACTGGTTGTTCGGGTTCCTGTACCCGTACTGGGAGTTAAATTATTTTCTAATAGTAACCCTGTTGGTTAAATTCCCAGTCCAGGCCATAAAATGCTGTGTTTAGTATATACCTAACAACTCTACTTACTATGTGTGTCATGTACCCTAACTAGTGTCTAGTTCTTGGCTCCGGTAGAACTGGGTGGACTGAGCAAGGAAGTGAAGCTAGGGTTTTAGAATCTAGACCAGGAGCTGAAGAGGAGCTAAGCATGCTGCCCCCTTGTGGGTGAACTGAGTATATAGCAACCCACGCCTATACTTCAAAATGGGGGGTTGGGGGGGGGGAGATACTAGCAGAGCTTTTGTTATTTTTAAAAGCACTTCTCTACATAACTTGTCCTAATAATGATGATCATTAGAAACCAAGACAGGATGAAGACGTGGAGCAAAAGCTGGGACTTTCTTTCTTTTTTTAATATATTTTATTGATTTTTAACAGAGAGAAAGGGAGAGAGATAGAGAGCTAGAAACGTCGATGAGAGAGAAACGTCGACCAGCTGCCTCTTGCACACACCCTAACGGGGATGTGCCCACAACCAAAGTACATGCCCTTAACCGGAATCAAACCTGGGACCCTTCAGTCCACAGACCGACGCTCTACCACTGAGCCAAACCGGCTTCGGCAGGCTGGGACTTTCTGAGCAGTCATGAAGGGAGGATTAGTAGGAATGAGGAAATTAGAACACATCCGATCCCTTCATCAGCTTTCCTCTTA